ATGAAGTGACCACTGTCAAAAAAGAAGAGGTCATGAGTGGCGACGTCAGAGGGGCGAGGTGGATGTTTGAGACGAAACCACTCGACGCCATCAAGGCGGAGAATGAAGTTTACGTGATTCGAGCTGTTACACAAGAAGACGTCAAGAAAGGGGATGTAAAATCAGCCAGATGGAAGTTTGAGACGCAACCTCTGGATTCCCTCACTGAACGAGATGAACCTCCTGTTTTGGTCACCGAAGACTTTGGAGGCAGCAGTGTCCAGCTGAATAAACAAGTATTTGAATCTGAGCAGTCGAACAAGAAGTTTGTGAGAATGGTTAGTGTCACCGATGTGCAGCGGGGAGATGTGAGGACCTCCACCTGGCTTTTTGAGAATCAGACCCTCGACAGTCTGAAAGGCGAACCTCAGGAGCAGAATCCAGTCAAAACAGTCCATAGAGAAGACAGCCAGAAGGGAGACGTGAAGCGCTGCACGTGGATGTTTGAGTCTCAGCCACTGGACAAGATCAAGGAGTCCGAAGATGCCTCAGCACAAGCCACCGAGGAGATACCGAAAGCTGATGTCAAATGCACTACCTGGCTGTTTGAGACCACGCCACTGGATAAAATCACTGCCAACAGTGTGGCTGACACGCTTTCATACTTGTATGAAATCAAATTTGTCCACTCCAGTGGCATAATAATAGAAGAAAACGAAAGGAGGCATGTCAACATGGCAAAATACCTCCTTGAATCCAGCAGAGGTGTGCAAATTCAAAAAGAGGACATTGTTGCTGGCAACATTAGAAACATCATGTTGCAACTTCTGCTCAAACCAACAATCAAACCGCAAGTTACTCTTCTGAGAGAAGTCGAAAAGGGTCAAATCAACACCACTGTGGTGGAGCTGCCGGTCTTGGAGTCAACTGCGACTGCCAACATTGAGCGAGATCAAAGAATACAGAACATTGCTCAGATGATAGATGACTTGCTTGTTCAGGACAAGGATTTCAAAAAGGGAATTATAATGCAAGAGTCTGGAGAGGAAAGAGGAGAAATGTCAGTTTTTTCTCTAATGTGCAATAGTGAGATCAAAACTGAGAGTCATGTCATGGAAAGGGGAGATGTGAAAACTACAATTGGAAATCTCTTGGCTACTGCCAATAATCAGAGAGCTGCAACATTGTGTAGAGTGGATGAAAATGAAAAGGGCAATGTGAATTTATACAAAAGCTGCATTGAAAAAGGAGACCTTGATTACTTGAAGAGTCTTCATACTGAGGAATCTGAATTTGAAGCTACGTGTGGCCTTTTGATGAAGGAGCAAGTTGAAACAGTTCAGGGGGGTGTGCAGGAAGCAAAGAGAAGCCTCTGCCAGCAAAAAGAGCAGGTCGAGAGAACCGTTTGTGATGTTTTGCCAGGAGATGTAAAGAACACCAAGAAGGTTTTCTCATCTGAGCCCTTTGTCAGTGTCGATTGCTGTATTCCGAGAGAAGAAATAATCCCAGGAGATGTGTCGTCAGCAAAGCAACAACTGGCTGCAAAGCAGCCTGTGATTGTGGACAAAGAGGAAGTTGTACCTGGAGACATCAAGGCAACAATGGAGTCATTAGAGCGTGCAAAACAGCAAAGCATGAGTGTGGAGAGGGAGATGATTAAACCCGGGACCATCTATGAAATGGACTTGTCAGCTCATGGTCCTGTGGACGAAGGAAGCCAACTACAGAAAGAAGTGATTGTATCTGGAGATGTGAGAGCAGCTAAAAAGTCCCTGGAAATGGCCAAGCAGCAAAGCATGCAGGTGGAGCGGGAGGTCATTGTTCCTGGAAAAATATACAATTTGGGGGTGTCGGTGAAGGAGGAAAGCTCTTCGACTGTGGCACAATCTACATGTTCGTCTTCCTCAAGATGCCAGCAAATCAAGACTTGTCCACAGGTCAGTGATGCAGAGAAGGATCAGGAAAGCCACATTTCCTTTGAAAATTGTCAACCAAGTGCAGTTGTAGTCAGCAATTGTGCCCAGCAATCAATGCCTTTATTTATAGGTTGTGATTTTAATGGTCAGACAGCTGAAGATGAAATAGAAGAAGTCAGTAGAGGAGATGTGAAGGCAGCCATTAGGTCTCTGCAGAGTGCAGCAACAGAGCAGAGGCTTGTAGATAAGGAAAATGTTGTGAGAGGAAATGTGCAGCTGGCTTTGGAATCTCTTGAGAAATCTAGTGTAAATGTATCCAAGGGAGACTATAAAGCTGCAATGATATACAGGAATTCAGGCAGGACATGCCCAGGGAAGAGCAAGACTGTTCACAATCAATGTGTTGTGGTGCCTATTCCTTCATCTGACACAACATTGTCTCCTTCAATTTCAGTAACCTGTGAAGGACAGCCAAGGAACCCAACACAGTTTTCACCCCATAACCAATTAGCAAACGGACCCTCTATATCGCCCAGCTTGGAAAGAGTAACCTCACCTCCACTCATAGACAAGAGCAAGAAACCAAAGAATCAGAAGCCAGCATTACCACCAAAGCCACAGTGGATAACGGTGGAAGCAGCAAACACCTCACCCACATCTTCTCCCAAAGTTACCTGCCAAATTGACGACAACGTGAATGCAGTGGTTTCTCCAAAACGAAACCTGCAGTTTCCTATCCAATCTATAGACACACCAAGTGAGGAAAGGAATGATGGAAGATTGCAGAGAGATGGTGATGAAACACAAGGTTCACATTTGTCAAATGAAGATCAGCCAATGGACTCTAACATTCAGATGGATAACAAAAAGCTCCAAACGCCACTCACGGAGAGGAAATCCAACGTTCATCTGACAATGTCCAACAGTGACAAAATGCAAGTAGAAAGAAACGTGATCCAGAAAATAAATGCAGCTGAGGAGATCCAGATGTGCATGAAAAATTATGCAGAAGATGGAAAACAGGAGATGAACATGAGCTTGAGGGCTGCTCTTAAGAACTTTGAAAAAAAGGACAAAGATGATTTGGACAAAAGAATTTTGCCATCCAAAAAGGTTAGAGTGAGTTATAATAATAGTAGTGATCATAGGCAAACTGGCAATAATTTGCCTCAGCATCATGAACATGAGCTTAGCTTTCCCACACATCAATGCAAGACTGAAGTGGAAACATCACAAACTAATTCGATAGGCGAAATAAATAATTCACAGCAAAATGACCTACAACAAAACAAGCAGGAACTCTGGGACAAGGTTGTTTTACGAGAGAAGAAAGTTCGAGAGACCGAGGAGGAGAGACGGCAAAGACTTTCAGTCCACAAAGATGAGATCATGAAAGAAAATGCGGAGACCGCCATGGAAATCTTTGATAATCTGAGGAAACGAGAAGAACTCAAAGGAATCCTGTCTCAGGTGCAGGAGATCGAAGGAGAGCCGTGCAGTGTAGATGCCACCTCCCTGAAGTCTTTATACAGCAATGTCCCTCCTTGGATGGTCGCGCCAAGAAATCCCAAGAAATGTAAAAAAGAAAAGAAAGTCGCAGAATTACAGGATGATGATCTTGAAAGCATTTCCTCAGTTGAAAGTGCGTTTGAAGATCTGGAGAAAGCTAGTAAGGAGATAATGAAGCTGAAGGAGCAGACATTAGCCAAACTTGTTGACATTGAAGAAACGATCAAAAAGGCACTGTACTCTGTTTCCAATCTGAAATCTGAAGCTGACATTGCAGGTTTGTCGGGACTCTTTGACGAATCTTTGAAATCTGAGCAAAATTTTCAACCCGTTAATAGCATCAAGAAAATAAGCATAGTGTCGAGCAAGACCAAACCAAGTCCTAGAAAAGAGTCACCAGAAGAGACCCAAAATGCAAACAGTAAGCCACTTATCAGACAGTCCTTCTCTCAGTCTTCACCATCATTCATCTCCATTCGCTCTGCAAGGAAGCCTTCTGAGCAACAAAAACCAACCATGTCAACATTTAAACCAGACACAAAGAGTGCTCCGGGTGGCTGCCACTACGCAAAGCAAGATCTGGATTCCTCTGTTCCGGAGTCGCCAAGTAACGGTCCCAGTCAAGAACGCAAAGTCAGCGTGCTTGAAGTAAAGGCTGTTCCAGAGCAAAATACAGGAATAATTGGCACCAAGACCGTCAGCGAAACATATGAGGAGAGCGACAGCTTCGGCAACGTGTTTGTTTCTTCTGTGACTTCAACATTTGTAACCAATCAGCCCGACAGCAAAACGTCGGCTTTGTTTGAAGTAGTTGGAGGTCCTGCCAGGTACGAAGTGACGACATCGCCTTTAATGCAAAGATCCGGGCGTCCGTTCCAAGATAAAGTGTTGAGCAACGCCAGGCAGAATGGAACCGTGTTTGTAACATTCAGTCAACCAAAGCAAAAGAAATAAATAAGTGACTCAGTAAATTCAGGACATTTATTCCATTAGTGTGTGTATGTTGTATTTTCATGAAAGAATTTTGCCAAGTTTATTACAACAAAAATGTTAATTTTTAATAGCTAAACATTTGTTTATAGTTGTTTTAATTTTTTGTACTGTAACCACCTGATAAAGTACCTGTTATGTTTGTCTATTAAAACTAATAATAATTGTACTTTTTGATGTGAAAATCGTCAAATAAATTAAAGTTTGAAAAATGGTAAAAAGACTTTTTATACTCCATGCTAGATTTTGATTAGTTTCCAAACAAACAGTAGAATTCACCATAAAGCAATTATATCAAAAATGTTTATTAAAGTTTTCGCAGGATGGCGTGGGTGTGATTATTCAGCGTATTTTCTGTTAGTCAACATTAGTTGACTATTCAGGCTTTGCTTCCCACTCGTGGACACAGAAGCCAGGACAACCATTCTCAGGAACACTGGTTCTCAAAGGTTTGCAATGGAGGCTTTAGCGCTCAACTAAATAAATAAATAAATAAAATTAAATATAAAATAAATAAAAATAATTTAAAAATGAGGAAAAAAAATAATAAATGGAAACTAATTAATAAAACAAGATTTTAAATAAAATGGGAAATTAAATGACAGTGACAATGTTAAATTAATATTGTTGAAAATTATAAATATTAATTTTTGTTGGGAAACCTCTTATTTTTTGGATGCAATAAATAAGAACATTTATTGGTAATTTTAGCAGGATCCATCCTCCATATTAGATGGTTCCAAATACGTACTGGCCATATCACAGAATGAAAAAGATTAAGATATTTAGGGATGTGATATTTATCCTTTACATTTTAACAGGTATTATGCAGTGTAAGGCAAAAAACAAAACAAAACAACAAAAAAAAACTTAAATGCTACAAAGGATCCTTAAAAACAAAACTTTAAACGCCAAACTATTTTAATCAGTAACAAATAGGACACATCAGAAATCTCAAGATCAGCTCGATAAGAACTGCACAAACTACATTTTTCTAATCAAAATAATTCTAGAAAAAAGGCCAAACATAAACATGGAACATAACTTCACTGTAAAAGAAATTATGTTTTCGCCATCACAGTTCCAGTCACCTGCCAAGGAGATGTGTTCTGCCTGCTTGACACCGGTGTACCCGGTGGAAAGAATGGTGGTCAACAAGCTAATCCTGCACCACAACTGTTTTTGCTGTAAGCACTGCAAGAAGAAGCTCAGGTGAGATACATCTTACTATAAACCTGTTAAAAAGAATCCTCTACAAACCTTTATAGCTGGCCGTCACACTAGTAACAACCAGAGTAAAAAGGACAAAAAAAAGCAAACATTAAACAATTTTTTGTTTGCATTGCAGCACTCACAACTATTCATCTCTTTATGGAGAATTCTACTGCATCTCCCACTACCAGCAGTTATTTAAGAGAAAGGGAAACTACGAAGGATTTGGGCATACACAACATAAAGACCGCTGGCTTCACAAAAATAAAGGAACAGATGAGCCCGATGCCAAAACCACATCCAAAATGACCAAAAACAACATAAAAACATCTGCTGAGCTGCTCAGTGCGACGGCTAGCATAAACGAGCGCGAGCATAAGAGTGTTGCTGATGTTAAGGGCAAGCTGAAAGTAAGATGGCCTCCAGAGAAGAACATTACCAGGGCTAGTCCAACACAGCCGACAAATGCACCAGTGCTGAAAAATAAGGTGCATGATGCTGGCAAACCGGCGACCGTTGGTGAATCACAGCGTTGGAGGAGTGAGAAACCTGACTATAGGAGAGAAATGACAAACACAGCAGGGAATGGACAATCTAAGACAGTAAATCTGATCTCAGCTAAGAAGTCGCTCTCTGAAAAACCAGCATCAGTGAAGGATTCAACAAAAGCAGTCCAAATCTCCATCCCTCCAACGGAGCGTGAAGTTCCTTTGCGCACCTCTGTGAAAAACCAAAGAGCAGTTCAGACAAGAGTGGTGACCCTTTCAAAACTGAACAACAGTCCAGTTTCTAACAAGCTGGAAACCTCTCAAAATAAAGTTCGGAAATCTGTCCGATTTGCTCAGAAGGTTAACATGGCTTTGTGTGACCAGTCTAGCCAGATCGGCTCTGGAGGTGAATCTGAAAACTCCCCAGAGCAATCGGAACAAAGCCTTACAAGTAGCTCCCAGGATGAAACAGAGACCAATTACATGAAAGTGGATTCTTTAAACAGTGGACTTGAAGAACGTAATGGAACCCCTGAGATGACTCTACGTCAAGACAATGGAGACCCAACAACTGAACCAAACCAGGAGTCCAATGTTGATGTGGAGACCAGGCAAAAAATCCCACAAATGGATGATGCAACTCTGACAGAAGATGTGGAGGAAGTTAAAGACTCACTTGATTGTCAAAGTCACACAGAAATATCCAGTTTGACTGAAGATAAAACACAACATGAACCATCTGAGAAACCAGATGTTGCTTCAATGGGTCAGGTCAGCAAATGTGGTTCTGAGGATCTGAATGGTCCACAAAATCCTGCGGGACATGTGATCGAAGAGGAGGCCAGTCTTGTAATGAATGAAAACCAGTTGGCAACAACCAGTTCGAACAGTGAGAAAGAAAACACTGCAGTTCAGAAGAAGGCTCTACCAAGAACAAACTCAAAAACCAAACTAGGATCCTTGTCCAAAGGAAGGAGTCCTTTGACAAAGCTGTTTACATCAACTGGTAATGACAAAGCAACAAGAGCAGAACCAAAGGATGCAAAGAAAACTGATGTGAAACCCGGTGGTGGACTGTTTGGAAGACTGTTTCAATCATCCTCTGACACAACAAAAACACCTGCACAGCCAGAGAAACATACCAAAACTAATACCGCTAATGAGACAGCAGAGATGGAACAACAGACTAAGACAGAAGAGAATCAGGAGAAGGAGAAAATTTCTGAAGTTGCACCTTTGGAAACAGAAGCTGCAAATCAGACAAGCTCAGTGCTTTCTGAGGAAACTATCCGCACATCTATAGATACGGTCAACTTGTCCCAGGAATCCATCAAAGGAACCAATGAGGATCTGCCAACTCCAGAGAAAACTGAAGAAAACCCAGCTGATCAAGAGTCAGACTTAAATATCACTGTAGCTACAGATCAGTCTGTAAGTGATCCAGAAAAACAACCTGAAATCCTCCTGACTGACACGAATTTACCGAACCCAGGCCCAGAAGAATCAGTCATTCAGTCGACACCTGAAGGAAGCAGTGATGAGCTTTTAACTCATTCTGTTTTTGGTGATAACTTCAGAGAAGTTGCACTTTTGGAACCAGAAGCT